AAAAAAAAAAAAAAAAGATAAAACTGACGTGCAAGACGTCCCCAATTCAAATCCGGGTGCCCCCTAAAAACCATGACATGCAATAAGCTGCACATATTCAAAATGTATAATCTGAATGTTCTGACACATATACAATTGTGGAGCCATTACCACAATCAAGATAATAAACACTCATCACCTCTAAGTTGCCTCAGGACCCTCTGCAATCACTCCCTCGCCGTTCCCAGGCAACCACTCAACCAATGTCTGTCACAATAAATCAGACTTCATTTTCTAGATTCTATGTAAGTAGAACCAGTGAGAAACTAGTGCTCTTTAAAGTGTGGCTTCTTCTACTCAGCAGAATTGAGATTCACCCATGTTGAGGGTACTTGGCAGGGTGCAGAGTGGCATTCCATTGTGTGGCTCTATCACAATTTCTCCCCCCACTCATGGACATTTAGGTTGTGTTCAATATTTGACTATTACAAATGAAGCTGCTGTAAACATTCATGTTCAGGTCTTTATGTGGACTTCATTCCCTTTTATTATATGCTTTCTCATCGCCATAATACCTAGCAGGTGAATGCCTGATCATATGGTAGATGCTTCATTGGTTGAAAAACTGCCCAACTGTATTCTAAAATGGTTATGCCATTTTACATTCTCACCAGCAGGGAATGAGAATTCCTCTTACTCTATATCCTCACCAAGACTGGTACGTTCATTCTTTTCAACTTTAGCCATTCTAATGGAAGAGTATATTGTGATTTTAATTTACATTAAACACTGCTCTAATGAAAATCAGTGTTTCTAATTATTTCAAATATCTTCAAACTGAGTTCCATGTAGTATATACTGAGATAATTAACAGGACTATCTATCTAACTATCTGGCAAGCAATTTTCTCAATTTAAAGGATTTTTCCTAGAGGAAAATCAAATCTTCCCTAAAGAAAAAATAGTTGGTTTATAAATCTGGAACCCAGGGATAAGGCTCTCTCACAAACTGCCTCTGTCAATCCCTGCTGTGGGCAGGCAGATGGCCAAGCAAACACAGTAGACTGCCACTTGTTAGAAGCAAAGGACACTTCGAGCAAAAGTGGGAGGGAACCATTTCTGGCTTTGGGAAACTCAACACTGCAGAGATGAAAGAACAATTCATTTGGCAGTGTTTGTTCTTCCTTTATTGTAGAATCCCGTCAGCAACCATTGAATAGAGATATGAGTAGTGGCTTACTTTGTTTTAATTGGCCCTAAGGAGCCCAAATGGACAGGGAACTTGGAGATATAATTCAGAAGCCATGTTTTAAAAAAGGCCTGTCCTTAGGGAACATCCAAAAGGGTACTGCTAGTCAGTGTGTTTTGGCTTTTTCAAGACATACTGACAGTTTTACAGTGCCACATGAGTATTTTTAACCAAGGTCATTTTTATTACACTAATATCCAAGAATCCAAGAGAACAAGAGATGATGTTAACAAAAATTACATGAGATAAAATAAAGTTAGGTATTTGGGATGACTTACCACTTCAAAACTGAGCCGCTTGAAATAAACACAGTGCCTGGCATTATAAACACACAGATTTGCAAAGAGGCAACACACTGGGTAAAAGTCTCTAAGCTGGTTTGCTATCTATGTAAGCTCTGTTGTTACAAAAGCTACAGGCGTTCAAAGACACCTACTGTTTGTGAATCCAATCCTCACTGGCTGGATGTATGAGCCCATTAGGATGCTCGAAGATAGTAAGCTCTTGTTTAAGGATTTTTTTTTCCCCTAAGGAAGCAGCTGACAGAGCCATGTGAACTCTGGAGCAGAACTCTGAAACTAGTATTCCCATCAACTGCAAAGTGCCTGGTACATACTGGAGGAAGTTTCACAAATGTTTGTTGAATGAATGAATTCAAGAATAAACCAGTTTCCTTTTCTAATGCAAGGCTGTGAGAGTTGCTTCTGTACTAATGGCTACAGAAGGCTACCTTTTCCCAACTTGGCCCTGGGAACAATGGCAAGAAACTGGCCTCATCAAAGTTGTCCCTACCCTTTTTTTTTTCCCCCAAAGTTATAAGTAGATAGCCATATTGGACAAGAAGCAAATTATGGAGACTGAGCACACACAGATGGTGTGGCTATAAAATAGCAAATTTTGTTTTTGCTTATGGCTTAGAAATTTCCTTTGCGGAAAGGAGTCATATGCTCATAGACCCCGGCACATAATCTAATCAAACTTGGCACATGTTTTTATAATTCAAAGATCCTAGATTTGATATCCCGTTTGGGGAATCCCTTCTTCCATTTCCTGTGCCAGGGGATGATGTACTTTATGTTCCGATTAGGCACTTTCTTCTCCCTTCCTACCGCTATCCACTCTCCCCATCCAGCTCTAAGGATCCCTGAGTACATCTGGTTGGTCACAGCTCACTGTAACCTCAACCTCCCGGGCTCAAGCGATCTTCCCACCTCAGCCTCCCGAGTAGCTGGGATTACAGGTGTGTGCCACCATGCCCAGCTAACTTAAAAATTTTCTGTAAAGATGAGGTCTCCCTATGTTGCCCAGACTGGTCTCTAATTCCTGAGTTCAAGTGATCCTCCTGGCTCAGCCTCCCAACGTGTTGTGATTACAGTCATGAGCTACCATGCCCAACCTCCAAAGTGAGTTTTACCAATTTATACTCCTAGCAGGAGCAGGAGTGTTTGAAAATTTCCTTTGTGCCAAATATCCTTGCCAACACTTGTTTCCTGAATTTTTAATTTTTGTATTTCCCCAGGTTATCTTTTTTAACTTAATCATGGAAAATAACAGAGATTTAGGGCAACTGTCATGTACAATTGGTCTTTTCATGAAGAACATTGTGAATGGTGAACTGAAAAAGCAAGTTGAAAAGTAAACCCATATATGCTAACATAAGAGTGCCAGCAGAGTAATTCTGGGACTCAGTGAGCCAAATAAAACGGTATGAACCCATATAAACCACAGCTAACGTAACCTGTTGCAAATTAAAGGCCTAACTAACCAGACCAAAACAAAATTGTTCTGAACTATTTAGGACACAATGATATACTCCATTACTGCTGTCTTGGAGCAGCTGATTTCAAATGCCAGGCTTTCAATGAAAACTTAAAAGAAGCTAGAATTATGGCAAATAGTACCCACACATGGCACCTACCTTCTGAAGTCCCTCTACAGTGGCAGGCAGGCTAATCAAGTCTGCAGCTGACTTAACATTGGCTTTGAGGTGGTTCACTGCAGAAGTCAACAGAGAAATCTGAACAAAAAAGAGAAACAATGAAAACAAATGAGAACTTGTAGACTACATGTTACCTTCACAAACACTATGGTTGGTGATGTCAAGATAGTCTAGGATTTTACGTGTTTTTGCGACCCTGTCAGTTCACAGGAGTAAAGGAGACAGGACTTTGGACAGAGTTGAAATCTGGGAGGCAACAATAATCCCCTTCTTTCCCTGCCCAATTTGAACACTAGTGCCAAAGAGTAAAGGCAGGTGTTATTCTTTACCCTAGTCCCGGCAGCACAAGATCCCCAAATCTTAAATTACTCAAAAGATGCTGCAATTGTCACACACTCCTTCAACAATTGGACAGGAAGAAAGTTAATGATGAGAGATCACTTCAAAATTTCATTTTGGTAAAATATAACACCTCAGTTATTTACCAAACTTTTGTCTTGCCCAAGTGGAACATATATTACAAAGTAAAAGCCCATCTCACAAAATACAGTCTACAGGAACTACACTCTGATAACCCAAACAGCATTTTCAACTACTTGGAGATTTGGTTGTGGTTTAATAATGTGATTAATATTTCAAACTCAATAGCTCAACCAAAGCACTACTTTGTATCCTGAAGGGGCTCAATAAATACCCACTGACTCACTGACTGATGCAATGTATGTATTAAAATAGGAACTGAATCAAAATAAAATGAGGCTTCCCATCTGCTATTTAGGCATAGAATTCTAAATATCTAGACTTCACTCTTGAATGGGAACTGAGGGAACCTGTGTAATACTCAGTTTCAGGTTGCAGAGACAATATTCTAAAAGCTTTGCAGTTTGGCTCAAAACACTCTTGAAAGGTTCTTATTTCTAAACTGCTTTCCTATTCCAAATTCTAGGATAAGAACACAGATCTGCCAATAACAATTATATTCAGAGTGGCCTCGTAGGGTACCCACCAGTTTCTGGGCACTTGTTATGGGCCAAGCACAGTGGTAGGCACTGGGGGATGAAAGACAAAACAGAACCAACAGAATCTGATTCCCTACTCATTCCTTTAGCAAATGTATGGCATCTTCTCTGTGCCAGACACTGCTGCAGTCATTGTGGAGACAGCAGAGAGGCAAACAAGACCATGAAGCTTTGTTCTCATGGACTGTAAATCTTAGTAAAAGGTGACAGAAAAACAGAGAAAAGAATCCGGATTGTAATAAGTACTATGCTAATAATTTTTTCTTCTCTTTTCTTTTTTTTTGGAGACAGTCTCGCTCTGCTGCCCAGGCTGGAGTGCAGTGGGGCAATCTTGGCTCACTGCAGCCTCTGCCTCCTGGGTTCAAGTGATTCTTGTGCTTCAGCCTCCTGAGTAGCTGGGATTACGGGCATGTGCCACTATGCCCAGCTAATTTTTGTATTTTTCAGTAGAGATGGGGGTTTTGCCATGTTGGCCAGGCTGGTCTCGAACTCCTGGCCTCAAGCGATCTGCCTGCCTTGGTCTCCTAAAGTACTGGGATTACAGGCGTAAGCCACCTTGTCCGGCTATGCAAAGAATTTAATTTAAACAAAGCTCCCTGAGAGAGTAGTAGTAGCTTGGTCTGAGATGAGGGAGTCTGGTAAGGAGCCTGGGAACTCAGGTTCTCTATTCCCTCTTTTCTTTTAGGAGGCTTAAGACAAATTTTCAGCCATTCACTAATATAACAAATACTATTAGACCCTGTTATACACCAGTGGTGAACAACACAGATGTCAGGTATCCTGTGGTGTTTACATTTTAGTACAAGGAGGCAGACACTTTTATACAGGAAAAATATCAGATAGTGGGAAGCACTAGAAAAAAATTAAAATAAGGTAACCTGATAGGAGTGGCTGGTTAGCAACTTTTAGATTGATTGGTCTGAGGAGGTCTCTATAAGGAGGTAAAATTTAAACAGAGATTTAAATAATAAGAAACAATTTATCATATGAAGATTGGATGAAGCATATTTCAGGGAAGAGGGAACTGCTAGACCAAAAGCCCCAGTACAGGAAAGAGCTTGACATATTTAGAGAATAGAAGTTCAGGTGGCAGGATCTCATAATGTGTGTGTGTATGTGAGAGAGACAGAGAGACAGAGAAGCAGGCAATGAGGCCAGATATGCAGTAAAGGGCCAGAACAGGCAGGACTCTGTAAGCCAGAGCAAGGACATGGGTTTTGCTTGAGGTGTGATAGGAAGGAGTGTGTAGGCAGGATAATTACATAAATGGAGGCACCTTGTAGGAAGAATGCTATGGCTATCAATAGAAATGGAGAGACCAGTAAGAAGCCGATCTGTGTAGTCTTGGCAAGAGATAATGGTGGTTTAGACCTGAGTGGTAGTAGAGGTAGTAGCAGAAGTAGAGACAATACAATTTGCTGGGACTGGGTATTAAAAGTGAGGAAGACAGTAGAATCAAGGAAACAGATCTCTCACCTCAAGGAGCTTTCAATATAACTGAGAGACAGGGCAAGAGTACATTAAAGAAACAATTAAGGCCAGTTGTGGTGGCTATCACCTGTAATCCCAGCACTTTGGGAGGCCAAGGCGGGCGGATCATTGAGGTCAGGAGATTGATATCCTGGCCAACACGGTGAAATCTCGTCTCTACTAAAAATATAAAAATTAGCTGGATGTGGTGGCCTATGCCTGTAATCCCAGCTACTCAGGAGGCCGAGGCAGGAGAATTGCTTGAATCAGGGATTCAGAGGTTGTGGTGAGCTGAGATCATGCCATCCAGCCTGGTGACAGAGACAGGCTCCATCTCAAAAAAAAAAGTCATACTGAATAAAGTTTTGAGAAGAGGATATCGGTGCAAGCTGAAAGAGACAGGATTCGCTGAAGTAGGACTCAAATTAGACAGAGAAGTTAGAATTTTATATTAAAAACAAAGCAGGCATTCTTTCTAGGTTAGAAGGGTGAGGGTGGCATCGGGGGATAGGGAACACAGTATGAATAGACTCAGGAGTACTTTCTTTTCATAGCACTTCTCAAAGTGACAATGATTTGTTTATGTGGTTATTTGAATGAGGTTTCTCTCTTCCACAAGACGATAAGCTCCATGTGATCAAGGTCAATGTCTGTTTTACTTTCCACAATACACCTGGCACAAGGATGGGCATTTATTGAATGAATGGCTGAGAATGGACACTGTGTCTGGGATGAACATTGAGAAGGGTAGTCCAAGCAGAGTAGAAGGCAGAGGCCAGGGGGCAGGAAATAAGGCTAGATAAGTAGTGAACTTATTCTTCTCATCAGTAACTGGGTATAACAACAATAACAACTATTTAATAACTATCTCATAGGGATGCGTGATGGTTTCAAAATATGTCTACAAATTCTTTGACAGTCCTCCCTTCAAGAGATGAAACCTAATTCTCTTTCCCTAGAGTGTAGCCTGACTTAAGTGACTTGCTTCTAGTGAACAGAATAAAGTGGAAGTGACAATTGGCAACTTTAGAAATTAAGTCACAAAAGATCCCTTCTTCTTTGCCTCCCTTGGATTACTCAATCTGGGGAAGGTAGCTGCCGTGCTGTGAGGACACCTGAGTAGCCCCAGGGTGGAGAAGCCCGTGTTGGGAGGAACTGAGGCCTCCTACCAATAGCCACGTGAGTGAGGAGCCTCCAGCCCCAGTCAGACCTTCAGATTACAAAGAGCTGTCTGACATGTTAATTGCAACCTTAGAGATCTTGGCCAGAACCAGTCTGCTAAGTTGCTCCCAAATTCCTGACATACAGAAACTTTAAGATAATAAATGACTGTTGTTTTAGGCCACTAAGTTTTGGGGTAATATGTAACCAAGGAACAGATGACCAACACAGGCTATGAGAATTAAATGAGATATATAACCCAAGCTCTTAGCACTGGTACAGATGAAATATCAAACAAGTGACAGTTCTTTAATAGTGAAATTTAAAAAGCAGTAAAACATGCAATTCTCCATAAGTACTCCAGAATAACCAGACTCATCATCAACATTCTAACTCTATTCATTTAAAAACCGATGAGTGAGAAACCTCAGCCCACAGAGACACTCTCAGCAAACCATAAACTTTCTAAGAGAAGCAATTACATTAAGGAGGTTTTCACCCATGGCTTTAAAAAGATATAAACAATATCCAAGTTTGAAAAAGACATATAGAAACAGGCATTTTTATGCACTGTTTATGGGAGTATAAATTAGAGAAACCTTGTAGGAATATCCATCAAAATTGAAAATGTTTATATTCTTTATTTTGGCAATTTCATTTCTAGAAATCTGTCTTACAAATTAGTAGCTCATGTGCATGATACATTTTTAAAAAATAATTCTTCCTTATTTGTAACAGCAAAATACTAGAAGCAATTTAAATGCATATCACTAAGAATGTGACTATATATTCAGTGGACAAAGCAAGTAGTAGAACAATACATACTGAATGACCTTAACCCATAGGTTAATTCATATTAAAAACTTTATGATTTTGTAAATAGAGAACTAGAATAATGCAGCCCACATTATTGACTGTACACCTATGGGAGCATGAGTGTGTGTGTGTGTGTGTGTGTGTGTGTGTATGTGTGTGCGCGCATGCGCGCGTGTGAACGAGATGGGAACACAGAGATGGGAATTGAAGGAAAATTTTCATAGGAGTTCTATATATATTTTATAGTTTAAATCTTATGTAAGAATCCACTCACAAATTACCTATGAAATTTTTAAAAAGACAAAAGATGAGAAAGAAATATATACACATAGGAAAAAGACACCACATAACTTTGGAAACGGTTTGATGGGTTTTCTTGGCTGACCCTTTCTTCTATGCCCTCACTGGGCTTTCCAAGATCCCTGTAACATGCCCAATCATAAAATGCTAGAAAGGGGTCCTGCCCCCAGGTATGTTTTCCTTGGTGCCCCAAAGTATGTACACAGTTGGTTCAAGATCAGTTTGAAGGCAAGACTACAGTTATTCCAAATTGCCCTATCAACTATGTGGTTACCTTTCAGCCACAAGAGGGGACAAACTCCTTCCTCCACT